AGAACATGCCTGATACTTGTGATTGCGTTCCCATTATCTCGATGTAAGTAAAAATTTTGAATATTATTGAACTTGATGATGTGGTAATTTACCGCTTAAGCGGACGCCATACCTCAGGAGAAATTTTTTGTCGCAAATTCTCTTTCACATCCATAACAGATTTAAATTTTAAAGTATAGAAAAAGTGAACTCAGACAAACTTAGAGTAAGTTTCAAATACTAAAATGAAGTTCTTTAACCATAAAAACGAAAATAAATTATGAGAAGATAACGTAGGATTATGGAGAAGTTCTCCTCCAATAATTTGTTGATAGTTTAAAGCTTTTTTTTTTCAGCAATTCAAACTTCATGGCTTACTCTAGGCTTGCCTGAACTCACTTTTTCGTTCTCTTAAATTTTAAATTAGTTATGGGAGTAAAAACAAATTTGCGATGAACCGCTTTCTCCCGTAGTATGGCGTCCTCCCAAGTATATGTAGGATTCATATTATTTTATGTACAAAATATATTGTACAATTTTTAATGCTTTTGTTGTAAAGCGTTATGTTTCTGTTCATTGAAAATTAACACTTTAAACCATTGTTTCTACCTGTGGTTCATGAACCCCTAAGGGGTCCATGAGTTATATTTTGGGGGTCCGTTGACTACTCCTAATTTTTAAAACGTTTGGAAGCCTACCCATTGCTTGTAAAGCGAGCTATGGCAGCTATAATTCCGTTTGCTACAGTGTATCTTTGCGAAACAGGATTTTCCACACTTGTGACAATAAGAACATAACATCGAAATCGATTGAATATTGATCATAATATGCACGTTGCTTTGTCGAAAACCATCCCCCAATTCAATTTATTAATTATGGAAAAGCAGTAGTAACCTTCACATTAAAAATTTTAATTTTGAAATACTCTTAAAATAATAAAATTGAAAGTTTTCTAATAATTGATGTTTTTTGCAATTATTTTTTTCACGGGGTTTTTAAAAGGGGTTCATTATATCAAAAAGGTTAAGAAACACTGCTTTAAAGAGAGGAAAAGAACAATATTTCTTTTGGGAAAAAATTTTCTTAAATGATGAGTTTCTAGAATCGCTTTCTATTTTTCGCATTTAAACTGTAACTGTTGAATAAATACGACATACCTAGACACTTAATAATTGCAGATTATTCTACAACAATGGAGTTTTGCAAAATTGTTCTTCAAAATTTAAAAACTTATCTTTAATATATAATGGAAGAAAATGAGAAACATGACTTCCAAGGTTTGATGTATAGTTTTTAAATCTGCCAAGTAAGCCAATTTAGATAAATTACGGAAATAGACAATGTACCGTCTAAGAATCTTTGCATTACAAACATGCAGAACCTTTGTAAAAATGCAAAAGAATTACAAATAGCAAGTACTACGAGTAGCAAGTTAACATTTAAATGAGATAAAAAAAATGAAAGATTTTTAAACATTCGTCTATATTAGGAGATCTAATCTATTCGAGGATGAAGTTGAAATACTTGCAAAAAGAATATACATTCTGTCCCACTAGAAAAAAAAATTTGTTTTTTATAATCATAATACTTCATTTGAACTCGTCGACTTCTATAATGTTAAATAATTAGAGAGTATTAAGACGCTTTTGTTCTTTTTCAACGAAAATATTAATTTGCGGTTAATGTGCCCAGCTTTCCTGTTTCATTATGTACAACGATTCTATAAAGATACGTTACGAGCGGCTTTTATGAAATACCCAATATACTAATTTTAGCTTTAAGATAGGTTTGTTAGTTTTTATTAAAAAGAGAAAAACATTACCTTGTCGTCAATTTGCTCCTTTAAAAGTTTCAGATAGACGTTTGTGTTTAATAAACATAAGCTGAATCGTGGTGGCTCAGAGGATTAACTCTCGAATCCCAATGAGGTGAACCGGGACTCAATCCCGGCGAAGGCTGGTTGATTTGAATTCCGCACCCGACTCACACCGACCACAGTACTGACGTAAAATATCCTCAGTGGTAGACGGTTCATAGGATAGAG